AGTTCAGCATAGTCACTACTGTAAGTATGAATCACAAGAATGATAAGTCTCTGCTTTAATTGGCCCAGCACAGCCCCAACAATATCCAGGTCAATAATAACAGACCTTTTTATTTGTAAAATTTGACAGTGACGGCAATAACTTTCTGATTACTTGAGATTGTATATTTACTGAAAGAAAGTATAAAGTCAACAACACAAGTGTTTTATATATTTTATTAGAGGCTTTATTTTTATATTACCAACAATTTTCATGATTTGTAACTTTCCTAGTTGAGCATAGTACATCAACCATTTAGTATGACCTAGGTGCTTTAGACACGGGAGATCAAGTAGGTTAAAGTGTTGGACTTGCAGAAGTGAGTTTGGATTTCCATTTGAGCCATAAAAACTCACTTGGGAATCTTGGAATCTCACAGCCTTGCTATGATTAAATAAATGAATATTCCTTTCCAAATATGCCACACTGAACTTCGGGGAAGAAAGGAAATATATAAATGTGAGGAATGAATGAATGAATGAATGAAATATGAAACCACAGGGAACTGTCCTGTAGGTTATTCACTGCCCTAAAGCCTCTGATTTGCACCTCAGTGTGATTAAAGTAGCCTAATTGTAAACAGAGACAAAGTTAGAGTCCAGTGGCAACTTTAAGGTTTTAACTTTGTTCCGCTGCTTCAGACCAACATGACTGCCCACCTGCATATAGGGAAAATAGTGATTTTCTTCTTCTCCTCAGAAATGATGTAAGAATAATGATGTGAATAAGATAAATAGCTATATAAAGTTTCATTCATTTGCAGAATATTTAAAAGTTGAATCTTGTAAGATAATTTCAAATGCTATTCAATCTGAAATTTGGGATATTGTACATTACAGGCCCATGATTAATGACAGGTGAAAAGGAACAATTTGGAAATATTGCTAGATTCTGACAAAATCTCTCTCCCATTATTCTAAATGTTCTCTGGAACTTGAGCAGACTGATATTTTTTCCTCACTCATCTGATCTCAGTATTCCATGCCACCTAGAGCATATTCAATCTTAATGAGAACATTTAAAAATGTGTTAATTAGCAAAACCATTTTTTTCCTGTATAGAGACATTCTGGTGAGTACATAGAAAACCCTACCTTGTTTATGAGTGACTTCGTTTTGCTGTATTTTACTATGGCAAACAGCTACCCATGAAAAATGGCATATTTTTGCACATTTCTTTTTATTACATCCTCACCGTTTTCACTATAAACTAAACAGAAAAGGTGGTTTAAAAAAATAAAATAAAGATTGTCTATCGGTCAAACTATATGTTCCCTCTTTGGTGTGCGTGCACACATGCGCGCACACACACAGACACACACACACTATATCCTCAGGATATAGTTGTTTTTTTATGTCATGATGCACTGTTCCCTGTATTTGAAAGCATCTTCATAATTATTTATTAATTCATAGCCTCATAATTATTACTGTTATTACCTCTGAATATTAAAATACCTTTTAAAATCTGCTTTAGAAATATAAAAAAGATTTTTTCCCAGCACTTCAATTTATTTTCACACATTTCTCTGTCAACCTTTATTAGACCAATATGGGTGTCTGGTGAATATTGGATTGTTATTTGTTCCCCATTGTCTGTAGATTCGTTTTAGATATTGGACTTTTCTGGGCTCCTTTTTATGTAATCTGGGGGGTTTTGCTGAACTTATTCTATGAATTTTCTAAATTGCTTTGTATTTTTCACCTTCAGTGCAGGCATAGCTGTCAACCATATTTCCCTCACAGAATTTCTATTTCAACACAAACTATCATTTATCACTCCCCGCCTGCCCATCCACCAAGGATCTCATGCCAGATGTTCTCACAGTAATGCTGTAAGGTAAGTTAGGCTGAAATACATGACTAGAGATAACCAATATATGAAATGTGTAATAATAATTAAATAATGCAAAAATATAATTGTTATAACAATTTCCGGCCAAGGTGTAACCAAGATACAGAAGGAAGAATAATAATGGAAAGAAGAATAAAGTCCCAAGTATTTTACTGTGTTTCACTTCAGTAGCATTGCAATATCAATGTCCAATTTGACATGCAATTCATCATGGAGTCGACATTTCAGGAGTTCCATAAGCTATAAGAAGCTATGATGCGTAGTCTGGCTGCCGGCTGCCACATTTCGAGTTATTCTTATTCAAAAGCAATAGGCTATATGGGGACCCAATCTCAGTAGAAGGCACATACAAAGCCAGTATAACCAGTCAAGAATACACTATTTGTGGGTCCATGTCCAGGCCTGATTCTACAAACATGACAGGGAAACAGCAGCTTCCATGGCTATTTCAGATCTGGAGAAAAATGTAGGTAAATTCTTTACACCATGGTCCTTGATCTGAATTGGGACTCCATATGTACACAAATCTCAGTAGAAGGCAAGATCAAATCAGTCAATCCTAAAAGAAATCAACCCTGACTGTTCCCTGGAAGGCCAGATAATGAAACTGAAGCTCAAATACTTTGGCCACCAAATGAGAAGGGAGCACTCACTGGAGAAGACCCTGATGCTGGGAAAGATTGAAGGTCAAAGAAGACGGGGACGGCAAGGGATGAGATGGTTAGACAGTGTCATAGATGCAACGAACTTGAAATTGAGCAAACTTCAGAGGACGGCGGAAGACAGGAAGGCCTGGCATGATCTGGTCCAAGGGGTCGTGAAGAGTCGGACTCGACTGTGCGACTGAACAACAACAATATACACAGCTAGGTAGCATGGAAGCCACAGAACAAATTACCAGGGATGGAATATTGTGTCCTCTCTCGGAAGGGTTGCCAGGTCTCTCTTGGTCACCAGCAGGGGGTAGGAAGTGGGGTTTCCAGATTCAGGTTGGGAAACTCCTGGAGATTGGGGGGCAGAGCCTGGGGAGAACAGGGACCTCAGTGGAACACAATGCTATAGAGTCCACCCTCCAAAGCATCCATTTTCTTCAGAGCATCTGATCTCTGTAGTCTGGAGATACTGTAATTCCACTGATTCCCCAGGTACCCTATCTCTAGACATCTCTACCTCTAGCGAGAAAGGTGGGGTATAAATGAAGTATTTTTTTTAAAAAAAATGGTCCTTCCTTCCATCCATCCATCCATTTTATTCTGTTTTTCTCTATGCATCTGTGGCTATATTCCCCCCCCTCTGTCACATAATGGGCCTTTGTCTCAGTCCATAAGAGGGATTCCAGGGCCACTAGCTGGCATCCTCAAGAACTTTAATGGCAGGCTCATGGCCAAAAAATGCTGTTCAGTGACATTTGGCATCACATTCATGGGGAAAAAACAACACTTGGATGTGATGTAAGAGCATTGGAATATACATTGGCCACCCCCAAAAAGTTCATGGTACTCCATGAAGATAGTTTCATAGGTAGTTTCTTTGCAACTCCCACCTCCAGACAGGGATATAAGGACTCAGGGATCTCCACGCCTACTTGTATCTGACAGAGGGAAGTTTTACTATTGAAAATTATATCTTGGTAATCCTGTTGGTCTCTAAGGTGCTCTCCTATGGTATTCCAAGTACCAGGCATCACTGGATGTCAGTTCTGGCCTGGGCCTTCCCCCCCCCCCCCCCAGATGAGCAGTGGTAAGAATGAGGGCCTGAGCAGCAGTAGGCCTCCTGCTATAATATAAGAAGTACTAGTACTCACAAAGTGAATATCACATCATAGTTCGGGTTGACAACAGAGACTTAAAGTTTAACTTGATTAACATAACAGATTGTGGATCTACCAGCTAGGGTTGCCAACTCCAGGCTGAGAAATTCCTGAAGATTTGGGGGTGGAGCCTACAGAGGTTGGGGAGGGGAGGGACATCAGCAGGGTGCAACGCATGAAGTCCATCCTCCAAAGGTGCCATTTTCTTCTAGGGCACTTATCCCTGTTGAATGGAGAATTTTAATTCCAGATATCTTGGCTCCTCCTGGAGATTGGCAGTCCTACTACCAACTTAATTTTAAATTTAATTCAAACTGAGTAGAAGCCCAGAATAATGGGAATGGGAGAGGGGGTTTAACAATTCTACTCCTGCAAAGATTCTTTACTCAAAACCTATGTTTTACTCTCTCTCTCTCTCTCTTTTATTGAGGAGGTTAATATTGATTAGTTCAGCCATGAAAGGGATAAACTTCCTTCCCTTCTCATATATCCCCAATGGAAGTTTAAATGGCTGTAGGTCAGCTTTAAAAGCTTCTGGGAAGATCTGGTCATAGATCTCCTGGAATGTCCTTAGCTTTGATGCTTGAAGCGATTACAGGTTCATCTGGAGATAGGGATTTCAAGGTGCCCCATTCTCTCCACTTTTTCCATCCAGCAACCTTCCTTGGCTCCTTCCAGCATCCTCCTCACAACCAAATTTTATTCTACAAAGCAAGTTCTACTTTACTACATCATTAATTTTGACTATGTAATACCAGTCTTCCATGATCAACCCAACTAGCATTATGTCATTAACTCATCTTTTCTCTGTTTATTGTCGCCATTGCACAATTTATGGAGTTATCATCGGCTCTATCTTTAAAATTCCTAGCACATCACTTTATTGGATGGGGAGGATTAATAACTAACAAAAAATCATTCACTGAAAGTTGGAAGCATCATTTTTTGTCCTGGATAACACACAGTCTGGTTAGAAAGTGATCAGAGTTAGTCTGTGTAATCAACTGGTCTATGCAAACTTCACAATGGGAAAATAACAATTTGGTTTATTGAATTTGCAATAGAGGTGGGTTGGATTAAGCCAGTTTCTCTGCTGGGGAAAAGAAAGGAATAGTCCTCTCTGATTATCCTCTGGTAAGGGGATAGATAAAATCTGTGTGGGATGTGTTAAAAAGGAAGAGGATTGAGTGAGATAAGAAGAAAAACACCTAACTTATCCTACCTATTGTTTAATTCTTGGTGACATCCTTTTAGATATTAATTCAACCTTTTGTTTCAGAAGGAAAAAAGAGGACAGATGGGAGTGTACCATCCAGGAGAAAATAATGAAACAAATGTTATGGAATTCATCCTTCTTGGCTTCCCTGGGACTCAGTATCTGCAAACAGTCATGTTCATCCTCTTTCTAATTATGTATATCTTGACAGTTTTTGGAAATGTGTCCATCATAATTTTAGTGAAAACCAATCGTCAACTTCATACTCCTATGTATTTCTTCCTTTGCAATCTTTCTTTCCTGGAGGTATGGTACACCACAGCCTCTATCCCCAAGATCCTTGCTATCTTCCTGGGGAAGAGCAGAAGCATCTCTTTCACAGGTTGCATCCTACAGTTGTACTTTGTCTTTTCATTTGGGAGCACTGAACAATTCCTGCTCTCTGTCATGGCTTATGACCGATATTTGGCCATATGTCACCCACTCCACTACAATACAGTTATGGACCTCAGCTCCTCTGGCAAGCTGGTATTCGGTTCTTGGCTTTGTGGATTCCTGGTTGTTGTTATACCTGCTCTTCTGATCTCAAGGTTGTCCTTCTGTGGATCCAGTGTGATTAACAACTTTTACTGCAGCATTGACTCTTGGATAGTTTTGTCCTGCACAGACACCTATGTCATTGAGATAGTGTCTTTTGTCACAGCTGTCATTGTCATCATAGGTTCATGTCTGATAACTTTTCTATCCTACATATACATTATCTCCACCATCCTGCACACCCCTTCTACCAAAGGAAGGCAAAAAGCCTTTTCCACATGCTCCTCCCATCTTGCCATTTTGATTATTTGGTATGGCTCCACCATCTTTCTTTTTGTCAAACCTTCTAAGCAGACATCTTTAGAAATTACCAAAATAGTGCACGTCCTCAGCCTCATTGTGGTTCCTTTGCTGAATCCTTTCATCTACACACTAAGGAACAAAGAGGTAAAGGGTGCTTTGAGAAATTTATTGCACTGGGGATGTGACAATACTCTTATTGTGTGTTTGGGAGAGAGAGATATCATCAGATAAAAATGGAGATAAATTATACAGAGTCAGGCTACATATATTTAAATGGTTGACAGCTGAAATTTACTTCAAAGAGACCTCTCTTCCTCTAGTATAGACATTTTTATCTGTCTTGCTCCCATCAAAGACTGAAAGCAGATAACAAGGAGAAATTGCAACATATAAAATCAATAGTTCAACACAGATAATTGATCATCCATCTATTGCTATCCACAGCAACAACCCAATCCACATTTAAAGTCCTACCTAAGAACTCCACCATGCCCAATTTTTGGCTACCCCCTGTCACTACCCACAGGAGTCTTATCACTTTGTTGGCATTCTCTTTGCAAAATCCAAATAACTGAAACAGTAAATGGTTCAGGTTCAGGTTCATTTATTATTATGACCACAAGCCATAAGATGCACATACTTAGATGAAACATTCATATAACTGAGTTTAAACAGTATATATTTTAAAAAACGATATAAAAATAAAACTATGTAAAAATGCAGTTGTATGTAATAAAATAAGAAAGAAGAACATAAATCAGAGACTACTAGGGAGCTATTGTTACATATTTGATAGTGTGTTTCAAATATAATAACATCCCACCCAGAATTTCACCACAGATTCAGTAATTGTCAGGTTCCCATCGATTAACAATTGGTTAATCTGCTCAGCACCTGTTTGTCCCACCATATCTCTCCCTTATATATAAAGCCGTAGTGGGGCACAACGTTCCAATTCACTCCAACAGTGTTTGGAGGCTTGAACTGTCAGTCAGAAGACGCTGGCTGGGTTGGCTGGCTGCTTTGTATAGTCCCGCCCACGTCAGCCCTGGCCAGAATGTTCAGCTCAGTCTGCTCTGGGCCTCTGACAGGAGAGGAACATCTGCAGACTGAGTGCAGGGACGGGGCTTCTACAGCTGGGCCACTTCAGCCCACTCTTTTCTGATTCGGCCAGCGTTTCAAGGCCATTTGCATATAGAAGCTGAGTGGACTTCACTCCATTCCACACCTCAAACTCCCCCCCCACAAGACAGTTGGAATTGTCAGTTGAATATGGGACCTGCTGTATTCTGAGGTAAAATATGTCATCACTCACAACACATCACTTTCCCTTCAACAGAAAAAAACCCAATAACACAATCAAGCCACACCACAAAAAGGACAGATCACACCACAAGCAGAATACCACAAGGCAAAAAATGATAGGAAACTGCCAGCAGTCACCTCATTTCTGCCACAGATATGTACCTGAGAGCACTTCAGAGGATGGTGTGCAGGTCCCAGGTTCATGTTTTAAAAGCTGCCTGGGGGAATATGGACCATTCACACACTTTCAACCTTAACATACCTCATAGGTTAGTTGTGCGGATCATACGTGGGAGAGGAGAATGATGTCAGCTGCTTTGGTTCCGACTGCAGGGAAAGACTCCCCTTTCCCTAGGCAGAGGCTGGAGGGGGGATGTAAACCTGAAGACAGACAGGCAGATAAAGGTAGGCCTGGAAAGGACATAGGGTTGCCAACTCCAGGT